ACACACTCACCTTACTCCCCTAGCACACACACACACACACTCACACACACACACACTCACCTTACTCCTCTAGCACACACACACACACACACACACTCACCTTACTCCCCTAGCGCACACACACACACACACACACACTCACCTTACTCCCCTAGCGCACACACACACTCACACTCACCTTACTCCCCTAGCGCACACACACACACACACACACTCACCTTACTCCCCTAGCGCACACACACACACACACACACACACTCACCTTACTCCCCCTAGCGCCACACACACACACACACACACACACTCACCTTACTCCCCCTAGCGCACACACACACACACACACACTCACCTTACTCCCCTAGCGCACCACACACACACACACACACACACACACTCACCTTACTCCCCTAGCGCACACACACACACACACACACTCACCTTACTCCCCTAGCGCGCACACACACACACACACACACTCACCTTACTCCCCTAGCGCCACACACACACACACACACACACACTCACACACACTCACCTTACTCCCCTAGCGCCACACACACACACACACACACACACACTCACCTTACTCCCCTAGCGCACACACACACACACACACACACACACACACTCACCTTACTCCCCTAGCGCACACACACACACACTCACCTTACTCCCCTAGCACACACACACACACACACACACACACTCACCTTACTCCTCTAGCACACACACACACACACACGCACACCCTCCCTTCTTACTCCTCTAGCACACACACACACACACACACGCACACTCACCTTACTCCTCTAGCGCACACACACACACACACACACTCACCTTACTCCTCTAGCGCACACACACACACACACACACACACACACACGCACACCCTCCCTTCTTACTCCCCTAGCCCCCGACACATAAACTTTGAAACAAGCAGCTCTTGTGGCTTTAATAACCTATTTCAAGGTTTTGTCCTCAAATATACCTCTCTGCGTTTGTCACTCATTTCCTATTAACTTCAAAAATTATTCTGCTCATTTAAACACGTCCTCTACTTTACACAACCAAGTCTGGCCCTTTTCTAGAAACATTGTGTCTTACACTTACAATCACAGGGCTTGAGAGGCTTAGGCAGGATTGTTATGTGTTTGAATCTGAGGCCAACCTAGGCTACACAGTAAGTAAATCTCACATCAGCCTGGGCTACACATTTGAGAACCTGTCTCAAAACACCAAAAGAAAGTCTAAAGGGAGGTATCTGGAGGTCTCTTTCCTACTGACACAGGTTTTAACATTCAACCTAGGAGGTGGGGCTTAAAGAAGCGCACCCAGAGGGTTGTCTACCCAGGCTGTGTCCAGAGAAAAGCCCAGCAGCTGAGCCTGAGGGCAAGGACACTCGGTCCAACCATCTTTTCAGGAACCCCTCAAAACCTTCCTTGCCTCTGTTAACCACTAGTCTAAGCAGGCGCCTTTACAGACAGAACCCAAATTACTTCCAAAGTGCTCTTCCAATCATTTTCAGCTAATTCTGTATGAGGCTAGCTGAGGCGTCCCTGTCTTCCATCTTTACATATATGCTCCCTGACCCTTAGCTCAGCAGCCCCCAAATGTGTCTACCCTTTCCTCCTTCAATTGTGAAGTCCAACTGAGCATATTCAGGAATGGGCCAGCTCCTGAACATTATGTTCAGGACTCCCTGAATATAATCTCCATGGCTGCTTTGTTGAGTGTCAGGAGTGTTAGTGTAGAAACACTCGTCTCCCATTGGCAGCCTGTGGAGTTCCCTCAGTTTTAGGGATCTCCATTCAAGCAGAGCTGGATTTTAGACTTCCCAGTAGAAAAGAACTTCAGCAAGAGCCAGTCTGAGGCAGAGTCAGAGTTTATTTAAAAGCACAAACATTTTAAGCACAAGGGTTCGGAAGAAGAGGAAGGGATGAAAGTCAACATCCTGAGAGTATGTGTCTGGGTGTCTCAGTCAGTGTCTTTACAGCAGCCATCTACACTGTTTCTGTTGGTTTTGGACTTGAGCCTAATGTGGTCTTGGCTAGTTTCTATGTATTGGATAGGGTCACATTAAGGTAAAGCCCTAGACCAAAGGTTTGCGTGGGAAGTTAAGACATTTTTATTGTTTTTAAAAAAGGGGGAAAAGGGGTTGGTTTTCTTTTTGAGACTCCCAGAAAATATCCAGGAAAGGAGTAAGGTCACACTTGAAGGTCTTATAGGTTTAGACTTTAAGCACGATTCACTGTTATTTTAAAACAAGGCAACGTTGGCACACGCCTTTAATCCTAGCACTCAGGAGACAAAGGCGGATCTCTGAGTTCGAGGCCAACCCCCCCCCCCCCAAAAAAAGTACCTCCTAGCTGGCAACCTTTAAACAAATAATTGTGGTAGGATTCTGTAGGAAGCATCAATAGTCTGTTCCTTTCCATATCCCCATAATGGAAAGACTGTAAGAGCTGGAGAATGAGGGAGAGACATGCTGGCTGCTGGACTGAGTCACATGGCTGTTGTAACATTAACTCATAGCACCATTGTTACCTATGTAAGATCAAGCCCCCACCCCTGTGGAGGAGTTATCTATGGGCAATTGATGGCTACAAAGGGAGGGAGGGTCACTCTCCTGCAGCACACCCTACTGGATGATCCCACACCCAGGAGCATATGGGCAACACTAACTGGTTTCAGCGTTATTAATAACAACAAAAAGGAGGACAAGATATTGGGAGGGAGGAGGAACTGGAGAGGTACTGATGGATGGGGATGATCAACCCAGGTCCTCTGCAAGAGCAATAAATGCTCATAATCACTGAGCCATCTCTCTACCCCCAGATTTTTTTTTTTTTAATGACTAAAGATTCAAATAAAGTTCCTTTTTTGTTTGTTTGTTTTTTGTTTTGTTTTGGAGACAGGGTTTCTCTGTTTAGCTTTGGAGCCTGTCCTAGAACTCAGTATGTAGACCAGGCTGGCTTAGAACACACAGAGATCCGCCTGCCTCTGCCTCCCAGGTGCTGAGATTAAAGGCGTGCGCCACAGAAAATTTTTGTACTTCTGCATGAGAATTGCATGGTAGGGGTTTGGCCACACCTGCCTGCTCCTGTGTGTGTGTGTGTGTGTGTGTGTGTGTGTGTGTGTGTGTGTTGAGATTAGCCCTCCCTCCGCTGCTTCATACCAAACTCCTGGGCAGTCCCTTTGTGAAAATGGGGCACAGGTAGGTTGCAGAGTGTGGTGGTTGGTTTAAATGTTATTTTGCCCTAAATCAGAATCACCTGTAGGGATCCACACCTGGAGAATTGTCCTGGTTGCCTACAATGGATGTGGAAAGACCGGCCCAAGGTGTGGGCGGCACCTTCTGGAAGCAGCTCCCTCAAGGAGGGCATGGCGGCCAGGAAGACCTGTCACCTGAGTACTGGGCAGCCCCACCAGCAGCCGAGTTGATTGACCCTGTTGGTGCTGCCTCCTTGCAGACATCAGAACCAGCGTGTCCAGGCTCTCTGGGAACTCTCCAGATTTTGGGGGGCCACGTTGGGTCCGCTGGGGTCCCAGACTCATTGACTGTGACCTCTCCAGTGAAAGACAGTTGCTGTGGTTGGTACTGCTCCCACTGCTCAGCGTCCAGCCTCAAGGGCCGAGACTCAGTCTCTCAGGTATAAGACAACTATTTACCATCTGCTAAGTTGTTGAGTTCTTTTATTTTCACACTACACAGTTCTGTGCCTCCCCGTCTAAGATGGGGGTGGGGATCTTCGTCTCTACAAGATCCAGATGCACAGCAGCCCATCAAGCCATTCAACAGGGCAGTTTGCTGTTGTTTGCCTCAGAAATGGTTTGCAAAGCTCTAGATTAGATAACTGGTGTTTGTCAAAGCGACATACAACTAGAGTCACCTGGGAAAGGGACCCTTCACTGAGGTCAGCATATCTGTGGGGCTTCTGAACTAATAACTGATGTGAGAGGGCAGTGCCTGATTACACCAGGCAGGTGGTCCAGGGTTACATAGAAATTGGGGTGAGCAAGCCATGGGGAGCAAGCCAGCCAGAAAACAGCTCCTCCTTGCTTGTGCTTCAATTCCTGCCTTGAGTTCCCGTCCTGACATCTTTTCATGACAGACTGTAAGTCAGATAAACCCTTTCCTTCCCCACGATGCTTATGGTGTTACATCACAAGAAAGCAAACTGGGGCGCTGGTCTCGGCTGGGCATGGTGGCACGCACCTGTGAGTCCAGATTCCTAAAGTACAGGCAGGGAGGTAAGACCACAAGGCTACATGGGACCATGTCTTAAACCAAACCAAGCCTTCTTGAGTTGGATCCTGACACCAAGGGATTCTGCGCAGCCCTGAATTTTAGGGCTGCTGGAGTCAACTCACTTGATCTGACCTCTGTCTCTACAACTCCTGAAAAGTTAGCCAGCCTGGGACACTGGATCTCATGGTCTGCAACTCTGCATACGGCCTTTAGGGAGAAAGGGGGACACACATCCTAGGGATGCACAGTGGACACTCTAGAAAAGGCCTAGCAAGATGAAGCCAATTCTGCTCTCACACAAAGTTTCTGAGAACACGTATGAACAAAGGGATGTGTGTAGATATGATGATTACTGATGACCCGGGCACCACTGTGATCCAAGCCCTGTGTAAACCTGCCCTAGAAGACCAGAGTTGGGTCACTGCAGTGGAGGTAGAGGGGAGGCCCCTTGTCTAGTGGGTTGGCACTTACTGTGCCACTGGAGAGCTCCAGGAGGCGTAAGGCTCTGTCTTTGAATGAATGAGGTGGGATTTGGCAGTCTTCTCTGGGCTGGTCATCTAGGGAGAGGTGCAGGATCCAAGGCTGCCATATGCACTGTGCACTGGCCTCTCTGGCTTGGCCATCACCTGCCTCCCCCATCCTCCAGACAGGAGCTGTGACCTACTGCTCACAGAAAAGTTACCTTCACCATGCTATAATGAATGAATTTAATATCTAAAGACACATATTACAAGAGAGTTACGTGTGTGTGTGTGTGTGTGTGTGTGTGTGTGTGTGTGTGTTGAGACAGGGTCTCACTATGTAGCCCAGGCTGGCCTCAAACTCACCTTGCAATCTTCCTGCTTCAGCATTCTGAGGTTATAGGCATGTACTACCAAACCTGTGGATTATGAAGTTAAAAGTTATGGCAACTCTTATTTCTTGCTCTTATAAAAAGCACCATGTGGTGTGCTCCTGTAGCAACACAAGGGGGATGTTAAGTTTAGACCTTGAGGTAGTGTTAACTGACAAACTGCTGACCCTAACACAGGAGCTGCTTAGATTGGCTTATAGTGGAATCATCAAACGGATCTCCTTCTCATAGATGTCTGGGATCAGTCCCATCGGAGAGTTAATCATGTGCATTGTGTTCTTGCCAAACAGCTGGAACTCATAATGGATAAGCTGTTCCCAAAAGCCACTGTTGGGTCGAATGATGGGCCGGCACGATTTGGTCCAAGTGTGGGCATCCAGAAGGGTCATGGCATGGTACTTCATGAGGTAGGCGAGGCACAGGGCAGCTGAGCGGCTCACACCAGCTGCACAGTGCAGCAGTGTGCGTCCCTGCTTCATCTCCACGGAATGGATGTGGTCGGCGATTGGGTCGAAGAAGTCACAGAGACGTGCGATGGGCGCATCAACCACAGGAACCTGCACATACTGGATATTCTCATACACGGTGTTTTCCACCTCTACTGAGACGTTGATGACCGTGGTGATCTGATTGCTGGACAGTAGGAGCTTGTTGTTGGCAGCCACACCATTGCTGATAAATAGGCTCTGGGTGATCTGTGAGAGGCCACTGATGGAAGGCTGTGGGAACTGAACTGGGAAGGCACCCAACGGTGAGGTCATCAAGGTGACCGGTCAACAGCTGGTGATGCGTTAAACTTCCATCTTTCAGCTGGGCTGTGGCCACGAACACTGCAGGAAGGAGGGCGGAGTTGAGAAGGCTAAGAAGTCAGAAGGCTTCTGGGAAGTGGACCTCTGAGGCCAGCCAAGGCAGCATTCAGGGGACTCATTATGGAGTTCTGTGTCACTGAGACTGTTATCGGAGGGTTGGGGGGTCTTTCCACACAGGGGTGGGTTCAGGTCAGGTCATGCAGAGCTCCAGGAGAAACAGGGTGGTGCTCAGCAGGGCCTTGGTCCCTAAAGAGTACCCACACAAGTAGACACACAACTGGTGCCACCTTTAGAAAAGCTAATGGGAAACTCATCACGTATCTTGCTCAACCTCTAAGTCAACTGAGATCCAGTGAGAGTGAAGCCTGATGGTACTCACCTGGAGCACAGCACTCAGGAGGCAGAAGAGGAAAGTGGAGGGCTCCAGAGGGGCCCTGTGTCCCCCTCCCCCAATAGAGAACCCGGGAAACAAACTACAGGGCTTCTTTAGTTTCTTTCCTATTTGAAAACACAAGCCTTTTACTTGAAGTTAACCTTTGAGAAATTGGGATTACACAGAGAACAAGTAGATTTCCCAAGCAGGCCAGTTTCAGCTAGCATAGGGACATCTATCTTAATCCTCTCATAACAAAAGGTCATCCAAAGTAATCTTGGGCCAAGCAGTAATTTTTCTACAGTTCTGTCTCTGTTCCTGCCTTCCAAGGAATGTGACATGTTTTTGTTTCTGATTCCCAGCCCATTCCTATCCATAAAATCACCTCTGCTTGGCACCCTGGAACATTCTATTGTATAGAAGTGTTGTGCAACTTTAGAATAGAAAATAAAGCCAAATAAGATCTTTAAACTGTTGATCAATGGGCAACACGCCTACCTTATAAAGATGTGATGAAATGAGGTAATCCAAGGACTTGTAGGAAAATTAAAACGCAATGCCTCGTGGGAATGACAAATAAAGGCAAGTGTTTCAGGCAGGGGTGGGGGATGGGGGTGGGTTAATCAGAGTTGCAGAAACGGTCTGAAGCAATCAGACCTCAGAGCAGACTGGAAGCTGAGGCAAGATGGGGGAGTTCTAGACCAAACTGGACTGCTGAAATTCTTTTAAAAAACAAATCAAAACAACCCACAACAAAAGAACAAACCCAGTACCATTCCCCACAAACATGGGCAGTTTGGATTGAGGAGGAAGAAGAAAGAAATTTGGTCGCGACTGTTTTCACACTTTGTGGCCAATGAAGCATCTAGTTGATTTGTCACCCGTTGGCAAGTGAGCCTTGAGGGTAAATAGTTTTGTTCTTCGTCAGACAGCAAGTTCTGAAGTCTGGTAGTTCTGGTGAATTGTACTTTCTGGAGAAAGTTGGCAAATATAGGTGGGGCGTTGGTTAAATTCTGAGTTATAAACGAGAACCAGAGTCCACAGGTTTATGAGTGGGAGGTGCCACCAAGCCTAGGAAGCTTCCTAGGGAGTTGGTCTAAGAATGGCTCACTACGAGGTGACAAGACGATCTTACCTCTTTCCCGCAGCACCGCGGGAGTCTTTCAGGAAGCGACTGCAGGGCGGAGCCGCGGGCAACGGTCTCCGAGAGGGCCCGTCATGATCCTGATCTGGGCAGCAACGGCTTCTCCTCGCGCAACAATGGGTAGTTCCTAGGGGTCAGGCGCGGCCTGCTCTGCACCGGGACGCAGCCTCGTAGGACTCGCGCAGTTAGCGGACCTCTCCGAGAAACGCGGTGGGCGGCAGCAGAGCCTACCCGCCCGTCTCCACGGAAACGCGCGTAGCCGAGTCTCAGAGATCCCGGAAGGACCGCCTGCAGTTCGGCACGCGGCCCCGCCCCCTCGCGCGTCTCCTAGGCAACACCCTAGTCGAGAGTCACAAAGCGCCAAAAGGTCTTGAGGGCGATAGTCTGCAGGCTCCGCCTCCTTGTTGTCTCCAGGGCAACGCGCAGAGCTCCGCCCATGACTTCAGCATAGATAGTCGCTCCGCGTCCGCACTCCCTTCCTCATGGCTTTAGGCTTAGCTACGATTCCCGAGTCGTCCTCCACCCCGGCTGAGTCCGCCTCACAGCCCAAAAGACCTTCGGTCAAATGGGATCTGGGCTCGAATTTCGAGTCCGTTGCCAAGGAGACCACCCCCCCTGGCTCGGACATCCGGCGCGAGAGACTAGGCAGCCTGCCGGATCTTGGCCTCGGTATCCAACCGCAGATCTACTTCCTGCGGCCGCGGCCCGCAATCCCGAAGTTATTCAGGTGTGGCTCTGGTGTACAGATCGGTCCTCAGAACCGGGGCCTCTAAGGGAATGCGAGATTTCAGATCCACATTGCCCCAGCCGTGTCCCCTACCCCACCTCATCCCCTTCCCGCCGATCCGAGTTCCTCAGACCCCAGGAATGTCGGGATTTTTCAGACCCAGGCCTACCCGTAGGATGCTCGGAAGGCGCAGTCCCATTTCCAGCCCTCGGAATGAATCCTGGCACTAACTTCTGTAGGTTTGACGTCGTGCGGTCCGAGCGCACACCTGGTGAGGCTCTGGTCTCAAGCACAGATTTACGTGACAACACGCCTTCAAGCCTTTCCATTCTCTAGTGGTTCTGGAAAAGCCTCCAGCTCCCGTTGTTTTGCCCCAAGCCTCACTACTGACCCCCTTAACCTTACTTCCCCCTGCACCAGCCAAATTCCTACAGAGGATTTATTATGGGAAAGCAATTGGGTTCAAAATGACCATTTATTTCTTGATAGAGTTTTCAATCTGTCTCCTTTTTATTTCCAATATTCATAAATTAGGCGCATCACTGAGTAAAGAGGATCTTTAAATATTTAGGCTCTTTTTTTTTTTTCTTGAAGATTTTCCCACCAGCACCTGAGTATGTAAAGCCCTTCATAGAAGTCAGAAAAAGGAAAATAGGAAGTTTGGATGTTGGTTTCTTTGTATGTGTAAATGTAAGCACACCTAGAAGACAGTTAATACCTACGGATAGAAAAACGAATTGGAAAACATTTTCTAATCCCTTGAAAGGTTTTATTCTTTGTTTCCCCTTTCTGTTTTTCCTTTTTAAAAATTTAAATTAGAAACAAGCTTGTTTTACGAGTCAATCACAGTTACCTCTCCCTCCCCTTCTCCCCTGCCCCCTAACTCCTTATCCCATCCCCTTTCTGCTCCCCAGGGAAGGTGAGGCCTTCCATGGGGAATCTTCAAAGTCTGTCATATCATTTGGGGCAGGACCTAGGCTCTACCCAATGTGTCTAGGCTGAGAGAGTATTCCTCTATGTGGAATGGGCTCCCAAAGTCCGTTCGTATACTAGGGATAAATACCCCATAGACTGCCCAGTCCTAACACCCACATTCAGGGGGTCTGGGTCAGTCTTATGCTGGTTTCCCATGAGCTCCCCCTTGTTCAGGTCAGCTGTTTTTGTGGGTTTCCCCTGCGTGGTCTTGACCCCATTTTCTTATCACTCCTCCATCTCTGCAGCTGGATTGCAGGAGTTTGGCTCAGTGCTTGGCTGTGGGTGTCTGCTTCTGCTTCCATCAGCTACTTGATGAGGGCTCTAGGATGATATATAAGGTAGTCATCAACCTCATTATCAGGGAAGGGTATTTAAAGTAGCCTCTCCACTATTGCTTAGATTGTTAGTTGGGGTCATCCTTGTAGATCTCTGGCCATTTCTCCAGTGCCAGATTTCTCTTTATATCTATAATAGCCCTCTATTATGCTATCTCTTGTCTCCTCTATTCTCCCCCTTACTCAATCTTCCTGCTCCCTCCTGTCCTCCTCCCCCCTCCTCTTTCCCCCTTCTCTTTCTCCTAACTTCCTCTCCCCCCCCCCCCAGGCTCCCAATTTGCTCAGGAGATCTTGTCTCTTTCCCCTTCTCCAGGGGACCATGTTCTTTCCCCTTTCTTAAACTGGGTGTGGTTGCCCATTCTTATAATCCCAGCCCTGGGGTGGGAAATTCAAGTTCCAGGCCAGCCTGTCTCAAAAAATACATGCTTTTTTTTTTTGTCCTAATTATAAAAGTAGTTTATTTTCTGATGATGTTATTATTCTGATGTACTAACCAATAGAATTTCTGAATATAATATAATCGGTCATGTTGTTGTTCCCTCTGTTTCTCTGTGTGTCAGCCAGCCAGCCATTTCTATTTCAGTTTGTAAAAATGTGTATCTAGTTCTTCCGTTTTTGTTCTTGTTTGTTTGGGAATCTGTATTCAGGGAATACTTCACCAGCATATCTATCGTTTCTCTGGTTGCCTTTAAAATGGCTTGTCAACCATTGCAAAGGTAACGTGCACTAATTAAAACTTCAGCAGGAACAACAAAAACCTGAAGACAGGCCAGAAAAAGGAGCGGCCAGAAACAATCACTGTTCATATTTAAGGTTCTCTGCTGGTTAGGTTTTGGCAACAGACTAGAGTTACGTGGGATGATGGAACCTCAGTTGGGAAATTGCCTACAGATTGACCTGTGTGCATGTCTGTGGGACTCTTTCCTAATGACCGCCTGGGAGGAAGCCACCACTGTGTCTGGTGCAGCCCCTGGGCAGGTGGTTGGGTTGTGTAAGAGTCTGAAGAACAAGCCAGTAAGCAGCCTTCCTGCTTCAGTTACTGCCTTGAGTCCCATCTCAGCTTCATTTGATGAGTGACTGTAGCCTGTAAGATGAACAAAACACTCTCCTTCTCAGGTTATTTTGGGTTATTGTTTTATCACAGCATCTAAGAGGCTAAGATAATTCATGTATGTGTGTTATATTTTTTAAAAAACATAGCACAAAAAATCACTTTAGAATTCTGCTTTTTTCTCTATCTAGTTATCACGCCAAGATAGTTATACTTGATTACATGTATTTTATCTGATGATTTAACACAATTATCTATTTGCTTTCTTGATGAATCCTTGGCTTCCAAATTTTAGAACATATGAACAAAAGCTTCATAGTGTAACTAAATTATTAGAAAATGAAAACTCAGAAGCTAGCAACATCCTTTGATGTCATTTATTTGTTGAGACATGTAGCCCAGGTTGGCTTAACCCACAATCATCCCTAGTTCCCTATTCTCATATGGGTACTTCTTACCCACTGATGCATATGAGGCCCAGGATCCCATGAATACCAACATCTAACACAAGACAACACACTTAAAACATTGGGAGTGGTTTTTTTCAGCAGCTTAATTGTGTGGTTCCTGAGTGTGGACTTTGTCAATGACATTGTTATCTTGCTATGTCAAAAGGGGGAACACACTTGATAGAGTCTCCAATAGTCCTGTGACTCCCAAACTTCCCTCACTCCCCAGACTTTTTCACTAGACTTCCCTTATTAACTAACCTTGTATCCACCCAAACTTCCCCTCCTTCCTTCCCTCCTCCTTCCTTCCCTTCCTCCCTCCCTATCGCGGTAAATAAGGATCAGGATAAACAAATAGGCCAAATAGATGTTTATTCAGGGAGAAATAACTTACAACCTAGACAGATGAACACCAGGAAATTCAACCCGATCCTCTCCTGTCCAAGTCACGCCAGAAAGAGTGCCCCTTTCCTGGCCCCCTCTGACCTCCTTCCACAGGTCACTTCCGCCCATGGCTCCACCCCCAATGGGCGTGGTCAGTGCCACAGAAGGACTATCTCACTACACCTCCCTATAAGACAAGACAGTTGTCTATGTAGCCCAGGCTGGCCTAGAGTTTGCCATCTTTCTGCTTTCACTCCACCAGTGCTGAGACCACAGGCATTCACCAACACAAACAGCTTTCCTTTCTCCTTTTTCCGTATCCTGTTCTTGTCTACCCCCATCTCCCAGATTCACTGAGATCTAGGCTGTGAAGGAAGAACTCCCCCACCTCAACCTCTCTCAAATTCATCTTTTGCCTCTGCCTTCCAACTTATATCATCTAAGACCTCCACCTTTGCTCTAACCCTGCAATTCCTCATAAGATGACCACTCTCAGCCCTGTGGCTAGAGCGCGGAGAGAGTGCTTGACTTACATGTGAAGCCCTAGGTTCCACCCCAGGGCCACCACAGAGTAACAACAGTAATGACAATGACAGAAACAATTCTTGAGGACTCTTTGGATGCTCTCTTGTGGCCTGCTCTGGACCCCAGATGTTTTTCCTCCCTGTTCAGGAAGCAGCCTCGTGGCATACATGGTCTGCAGGCAAAACTTGGAGTGGTTTCCTTTCTCAGAAAATGAGAAAACCATTTGAAATCCAGCGAGGAGCCAGGTGTGGTGTCACATAGCTTTAGTCCCAGCACTTGGGAAGCAAAAGCAGGTGGATCTCTGTGAGTTCCAGGCCAGTTTAGTCTACAGAGTGAGTCCTGGACCAGCCAGCCAGAGCAAGAACCTGTCTCAACAACAACACAAAATAAACGCACAGAGGTATCTTCCACTATCCCAGCACCTATCAAATCAGCCTTGACAAGTTGTTCCTAACCTGTTCCATCTTCCCCCGCCCTCTCTAGCATAATGAATTCCAATGATGCAAATGTGAGGAAACTTTTGCCCAAGAGCCATTTATCTCGGGTGATTATTCGGGACAACCTCAACGCACAGCGCATCTATGAGATGGAGGTAGGGAGCACATTAGTGGCCTGGCCATTCTATACTCTTTCCTAAGATAGCTGCCTGTGAAGTCCAGGGTGGAGGTGGGACTCTCAGCTCCTAGAGCCAATAGGAGGCCATGAAAGTATTTTAAGGCAGGTCCTGTCTTTATGGAGGAGACAGATGACACTTGGGGTTAGTGTCTTGCCCAAGGTGCCACATACTTGCTCTCCATGGGCTAAAGAGACAGAAAAAGATCTTACCTCTTGGCTTGTATCTTGTTTTGTTTCCTCAAAATACATTATCTCCCGTGCAGAACCTCAGGCTTTATGGCTTCAGCTGGCATCAACACTATCTGACTAGTTTTTTTTTTTCTTTTGAAAACTTGTCCCATTTCCAGAGGAGAACTGAGGCTAGCACCAACAGCAACAAACCCACAGTATGACAAAGTGAGTAGGGCCCCATGCATGTCCCCCCGTGTTAAACTTGCCATGCTATGGTCCAGTAGAAATAGGCTGGACTCAGAAATAGGTCAGTATTATAGGTTCTGGGGTGAGTCACGCTTCCTATATTAAACTAGGATCTGAAACTTTTAGTTACAGGTTCCGTAAAATGGATTCGAATTAGTTTAAGCAGAATAGGGAACTTGACTTCACACGAGCAAGGATGGATAGGACAGGTCGATCGATGCTTCCTAGCTTCCATGGCAGATGATGTGTCTCACATCCTGATTACTCTGTAGTGAGGGGATCCCTGCATTGACTCCCTGAATCCCCTTGTGCAGCAGTGCATTGTAGAGCAAGACTGAATGAGTAAGGGAGGATTCGTCCTCCCAGCCTTAGAGTCTTATTGAGACAGGACAGGGATTAGGGATTGTATGAAATTAGAATTCCCATGTGATATAAGAGCTGTCCCAGGGAAGTAGACATATATTAGACATATGCAGATATAAGTCACAGATAATATGCACACAGCACAGTGATAAGTAGGGACAGGGTTATAGGATTTGTGGAAGGAGAAACAAGATGGACCTCCTTGCTCCTGCAAACTCCATTTCCTTATTCCCTTACAATTTCCACTTATCTATTATTTTTTACGTGGTGTTGAGAATTGGACCTACGGCCTCGCACACTCTACGCCAGTTCTCTATTGACCTGCATTCCCAGCCCTGCAAATACCCATTTCCTTAGCTTTATCTTCAGATTGTCCAGTTGAAATCAGGCTCCACAGCTGCAGACCACCAGAGGGCGCCACAGTACTCTATTCTGCGCAATGCCCACTTTACAAATAGAGAAACCGAGGACCCGTGTGGTCAAAACTATTTCATGGAATGAATATTGGGTCTAACTGGCATCTTGCCACTTCTAGGTCAGCTGCCTCAGATGTCTCTTACTACCGAGTGACTTGTTTATCCTAAATTCATCCCTGTTTTTTGTAAGATGAAAGCTTCCGACAAGACCAAGAGAAAAATGAGCCACTTGTACGATCACCTGAAAAAAAAGTTCATGACAGACCAGCTGAGAAAGATGTTGCGCTGGAGGCGGGAGTCACTGAACACCCAGCAGTACTTGGAGAGGCAACGGGTCTACAGACACTCAACTTAGACAGCAAGCCAGCCGGCTTAGCAGTGACACAATGATCTGCCTCAGAAACAGGGAACCACTGTGGCGAGAGCTAAAGGACGAACACGTGGCCTCCACCACGGTAAAGCAATAAAGGGAAAGCAGTGCAACACGTTCTCGGATCTAATTTGCTTTGCTCTGCTATCCATCAGCTTCTTGTGCTCAGTGGGAGGGGCAGGGTCAAGCCAGTCCCCCTGGTTTGTGTAAACATGGAAACTCTTTCTCTCCTTCGTGTCTGTCCTTCCTTCCTTCCTTCCTCATTTTAGTGTGGAGATACTCCAGGGCTTTGCAGATCCTCAGCACATGCTCTTCCCAGCCCCGGATGCATATAGCCCTAGGGAACACATCAGCCAGCTGCAGCTCTGCCCCGGAAGCTGTTGACATCTTAGATACAAGGGACCAAGAATGACACTGTGTGACACTCCAGTGCGATTTCTGACACCTACCTATTTGTATGACCTTGGAACCTCTCTGGGTCCCTGTTTCCTCTTCTGAAAGAGGAAGATAACCTGCCTCCAGGAGCTGGCAGAGGGCAAGCGCCTGGCCCACAGCTCCTCCTTTCCAACGGCTGACCCTCCTGCTGCCCCCTTCTGCCTAAGGCCTAAGAGCCTGCTTAAGTCCCCTGCTTGCCTTTCTGGTTGACCTTGGCTTCTCCTGGTAGCATCATTCTGCCTGCAGTATAGCAGCTCAAGTCTTGATCCTTAGCCCTGATTAGATTGAGAGCAGGAAGTAAGCAAATATTTTACCTTTCTTTCTGATTTCTTCTTGAGTCACTGTTCATTCAGGTGTGTATGTTTAGTCTACATGTATTCATGTAGTCTCTTGCTGTTGATATCTAGTTTTATTCCACTATGATTTCATAATATAAAATAGTTATTTTGATTATTTTATGTTCATTAGACTTGCTTTGTAACCTAGAATGTGATCTATCTTAGAGAAGGCTTCACGGGCTTCTGAGAAGAAAGCACAGTCTATCTTTTGGGTAGAATATCCAGTAGGGATCTGTTGAGTCCACTTGACCAATGGTGTAGATTAACTCTGCAGTTTTTGTTGATTTTCGTTTGAAAAACCTATCTAAGGATGAGTGGTGATTGAAGCCACCCATTGTTACTCTGTCGGGACCTATCTGACCTGTTATGCCCTCTAGTATTTCATAAAATCAGGAACCCCAAATTTTGTGCTCACACATGGTGTGTATTCTTACAATTGTTATGGAATTGCCATTGCCATCTCCTACTTTCTCTGAAATAGTGTGTGCTACCATACCTAGATTAACAATTGTATCTTTTTGAATGATTATTCCCTTTATTGGTATAGATTTGCTTTTATCTCTCCTGGGGGGCCAGTGCGGTAGTTTAGTGGGTGGGTGCTTGGTGCCTTATGAAGTGAGTTTGATATCTGGGCCCCACATGGAGGAATGGGAGAAGTAACTCCCACAAGCTGTCTTCTGACTTCCATATGTGCACCATGGTGTGTGTATACACGCGCGCGCACGCACACACACAGACACACACACACAGACATGCACACACACAGACATGCACACACACAGACACACACACACAGACATGCACACACACAGACATGCACACACACAGACACACACACACAGACATACACACACACAGACACACATACAGACACACACAGACATGCACACACACACAATCACATACACACACAGGATACATACAGAAGTAGCAATTAATATTCAAGGTATCAACTCTATAGTATTTGTACCCAGAAGCTTCCAATTTTAGGGACAAGGGAAGCCATTTACATGCAGTCTTTGTGGGTGAGCTCCCTTTGTTTATGTCTTTGACTCTTTTACTATAGCTTCTTTTTCTTCTTATAATTATTATTATTCTTCTTATAATAATAATTATTATTATGTGTTGCTTTGGTTTTTCAAGACAGTGTTTCTCAGTGTAACAGCTGTCTCAAAACTTGACTTGTAGATCAGGCTGGCCTTGAAGTCACAGAGATCCTCCTGCCTCTGCCTCCCAAGTACTGGGATTAAAGGAGTGTGCCGCCACCACCACCTGGCTTCTTAATTTTTAACTTCAGAGTGCAGCCTCTATTGGTTTCAGCACTTTCTGTTTCGTGGCAATTGGTGATGTGTGTGTATGTATGTATGTGTGTATATATGTATGTATGTGACGTTGCTGTAGTAGTTTGCTTCCCTATGAGTGGTAGTGGTGATTTAGCTCTTAAGAGTGAGCTGCTCACTAAGATGTCTTGATAAAATCAGAAGAGCTAGTCAAACCAGCCAGTGCACAAACCCCAGCACAGAAACCCAAGAACCATGAGAGAACAAGGCAGTGGGATTCCTCTAAAAGATCACAACTCGATTACTGCATTTGGAGGTATTTACTGAAATGGGTCAAATGCTCTCAAGGGGATGCAAGCAAAACTGACCAGTGACCTCATGAGGACTTGAAGAGCCAGCAACACAGAGAATAGTCAGCAAAATGGGGCCAGACAGACCACCCAGTGGGTTAAGGCACTGTTTGCCATGCTGATCACGTGCGTTTAAGCCTTGAGACTCATACAGTGGAATGAGAGAACCAGCTCCCACAAATTATCCTCTGACCTCCACCGACATACTGTGGCACATGTATGCATACACATACACAAAATAAGCAATGTCTTGTTGCTTTTTGTTATAAAGGCAAGTTATAAAACAGGACATTTAGTTTGGCTTATGGTTTCAGAGGGTTAGAGTCCATGACAGCCTAGCAAAGGGACAGCTGAGAGCTGACATTCCTGATGCACAACGATGAGGAGGCGGGGGAGGGAGGTGGTGCTGGGGGTGGGGAGGGATGAGAGGAAGACAGACACTGGGAGGGACACAATCTTTGGAAATCTTGGAGCCTGCCTCTGGTGACACACCAACACGGGCACTCAAGATTAAGAGGCTCCAGAACTGGGGTACGGGAAGAACCTGGATGTCAACCTAGTGAGGCTTTTAACAAGCCGCCTCTGACCATCTGAGTGCCTTTCCAGTTTTCAAAACTAAGCAGAGGTTACTGCATTTACATGGGGCAACGATGGGTCATATTCAGGAGAGGCTGCATGGGCACTGGGGAGAGGAGGTGTCAGGAAAGTACGATGGAAGACTGGAGAGGTATTGAATAGGAAGGACTTGAGGGAATAGGAAGGGCTCAAAGAGTCCTTAGTCCAGTGGATACACACATCTGCATATACAGCTTACATTGTTATAGATTCTTATATGTCCGGGCAAAGAACTGCCCCCACCTTGACCACTGATTTGGACATGCGATCCTATGTGCTTGCACGAGACAAACACACAAGACTGCCGAACCTTGTCAAGTCAGGGTAAGACAGCCTTTCTACCTCCCTGCTGTTGTTGTGGTCTGTCAGATACTCCAGGCCTTAGCCAAAACTGGTTGCACCAACATTGCTGTGAGACCTTGCGTGACTGTCCAGGTAGCATGCTGTTTCTGTTCTCACTGCACCATTTGGAAGTTGTCCATCCGCACTTCCTGCCTACCCTAGTATCGTTATTTTCCTTCTCAGATCTTTGATGAGGTTGAAGATTAGATTCTCACAATTATTATTCTCTCTTCCTAGTTAGATATATTAGGTACTAGACTTAAGCTTTCCAGCGTAGGACAACTCTATTGTAAATCTCTGTTATGCCTTCACCCTAGAACTAGATATGTAAGTCTTAAGCTTGTATGTTCTTGATGGTCCTTTTCTTAGATCATACTTGTTATTCACTGTTTCTGTATATAGTTTTGCATCAAGCCTAAATCTTTTCTTTAGACTAAAAGGGGAATGTAGTGAGATTCACTCTGTCTGCACCTTTTGCACTGACCACTCCCATTGGGGGTGGGGACAGGTGTGGATGTGATCTGGGGGAACTAGGTCTGAGGTAGGGGACCCCAGAGTGCTTTCTCGCTTGCTGGATGGAGACAGACAGCATCCAGAGGCATCCTTGGGATGGGAACCTGCTGGCATTCATTTGTCTCTGTTGTAAGTTATTTCTCCCTGAATAAACATCCATTCAGCCTGTTTTCCCCCTATTCTTATTATTCCATGATACTCAGATCAAGTGAAATATTACCTAGAAACCCCTTTCAGCAACAAACAGCGTATCTTGGGCTGTGGATGTAGCTTCATGATAGAGCACTTGACTAGCATGTGCAAGTCCCTGGGTTCCATCCCCAGCACTGTAAACTAAACTCTTACTGAACATTCTTGGGCCAGGAACCAGGCTCTCCTTGTTTCAAACATGACCTCACTGAACACTTGCAACAGTGATTTTATGGCCCCTCTTATGGGCGAGAACTGAAGCTCAGAGACTAAGAATTCTGTCCAAAGACACTGATTTAACAGGCCTTGAAGACAAACCTATGCCTGTCACCTCCAGCTCACCTTCACTGCATAGTCAAGGAAGCTAAGCACAGATAGTCTGTGGCTCCCTGGCTTGTCACTGCAGGTGGATACGGAAGGCAGAAAGCTGAAGGTCTCGAGCACAGCTCATCCTTGATCTAGTCTCCATGATTTTACAGCCTCTGCTGCAAGGTCTTGTTAACAGACCTGAACTAAACCCAGTCTCTTCTATCAGGTGGCTGAAGACCTTGTCAACCATTCTGGCATGGATTGGGTATCAAGAGAAGTTAGGTTAGGCTAGGGAGATGTGGGTGATGGTGGGTGTGTGTTCAAAATCCAGGGGCACAGGAGTTCTGATTACTGTCCTGGAGCTGTTAGACGTGTTCTGAGCATCACCACTCGGCAGAACATCCGTGTGCCCAAAGCCCCTACCATGAATCCATTCAGTCCTCCCCACAACTGCCCTCAAATGCACTCCATTACCTCAAAGGACTTGGGACAAATTCTCAATTAAAACAATAACTTGTTATATGTGCAGTGATCCTGTTCCTTCCCACTCCAGAATTTCATCATGACCCACGGCAGGCAGGTTGTTTTATATTTACCTCCTTCATTCCTCACAC